AGTAAACAATAGAACAACACATCACTTTGTGTAAAATTATTTTCTAATATCTACACTGAGATACGAATTTAATAATAACCTATTTATCGGACTATTTATTAATAATTTAAGCAACTGCAATGCTAGCATTCTTTACCAAAATTAAAAATGTAATCAATCCAAATAAGTATATTATAGTCACCTCATACATATATAATATATTTAAAATTCAATTAACCAATGTAGGTATATTATGAAATAAATCGTAACCATTTTCTGTTGGAGTACATAAGTTAAAACGAATACAATTTATTGCTAAAGAAAAAATTCACCAAAAGTTATTATTTTATTAATATTTATTTCATTATATTGTTATTATAGACTGAAGATTTCTCGATAGCCTTAGAACTTTTTACCATGCAGAGGAACGTTTAAATAACACTGGAATATTTGATTTTTGTACGCTGATAATGGTCATCCACGAGCAGTTCAAACGGTTTGGAAAATAACTTTTTGAATATTATTAAAGGAAATCCGCAAGCATACCAACGATGATATATTTTTCAAACTAACAAACGGCGTATTGCCGAGTAGGTAAACATCAAAATATTTGTACACTACCTACTTCAATGAATGAATCGCCACTTATAATCCTTTCACGAACAACATAGGTAGTGTTAAAGTAAATAATATAATCTGAAATGGTGTGCTCAAATTATGTCGAATATCAACTTATATTAGAATTTGCAACATGATTTGTGATGTTGGTGGACATTTTTAATTATCACCTAAATTTGTTCAGTTTGATAATCAAAATACGTCAGTTTTGAATACAAAACAAAAATAAAAATACAATTACGGTTAAACTGCTAACTAGGTTTATACTGAGTACCTACAAAATATATCATATGAGTAACTGTCCTTTTTTTTCTACCCTGGCAATAATTCTAAAATGTTTTCAAATATAATATGATGGAAAAAAATTAAAAACAAATAATCCACTAAATCTACTAGGTACTTAAAAATATAACAATCGTATACAGTATAAATATAACCTATATATTCTATTAAATAAATAATATTTTTTTTTCAAATCTCGGCACTTGCAGTAGCGTGCTATAAAAACACGAGGTTTGGAAAATTTTACCCTGAATACACTTAGTATTACGAGCACAACGTTATGTCGTTAAAATAAGACGGAGAGGGAAATATCGCATCAACACCGTATTTTTTTTTTTTTTTTTTTTAATAATCAGCCGATACGTACCCGTGTGTTTAATACCTTTCATTAAAATGACAAAAGTTCCAGGCAATGGGCCGGATCGTAAAGCTGCGTTTTATTGCCGTCTGCATAGCTAGGGAATTTAATAACTTTATCAGAGTCGGCCGGGCTGTAGCTCATTGCAGGGGCAACCACCATACCGCCTTGCCATCGCCCCCTCCTCCCCAAACTCTCCACCGCCACCACAACTGGTCATCCCACCAGCCCGCCCGCCTTTAAAACGCACACTATATAGGTATAGTATATATATATATATGATATTATGGTATATATACCTTCGTCATGCATGTTAACTGTCAACTATTTTATGCAACAACATTTACGACGGAAAATATAACTACAAAAATTTTGTTTTCAATGTGTCTACCTTTATATACATATTATAAGTATATATATATATATATTGTATATATTGTACATACAACATACATATACGCACGGTATACATTATACCTAGGTATATAAATAGTTGGGGCGGGAAAAATGTAAATAATATTATACTGCTGCGGACTTATTATATAATATATTATACGTAGGTATATATACGATTCCAGAACAAACGCTATTTTCTAGATTGTACACGACTCGAGTTTAATTATATAGGTGTTCGTTTTTATTTTATTGTTTTGTTCCGGTCCACCTCGTCCGTAATGGATATTTTCGCGTTGTTATTGGGACAATAATTTCAGGACACGACACGGACAGGTCGGCGTTAATCCCGATAATATCACACCCCTCGTTTTTATTTTTATAAAATATAATACATTTACTGATATCGTCGGCCGTCGGGGACTGAAAAAAAAAAGAAATACATGCGCTCCATATCACTTTATTATTACAGCAGGGTAGCGTTTAATTGGTTGTACATATACCTGTAGCCAAATTAACTCGATTTTATATTTAATCGTATATAGGTACCATCAGATGCGTAAATATGGCATTTATCACGAGGAAACCCCCTCGAAATAGGGAAGATGGTACATTATTTTTTATTTTTTTCAATTAAAATCTTTAAGTAATAATTTGACATTTATACTCTGTCTCCCAATTATTTTCAAACGCTTTACACACTGTTATTATTTTTCATACTAAAATATTACATGATATTATATACCTACCTATCATGATACATTGATACTATGTCATATATAAATAATATCATTGATGTATATTTTTAAGCTACCCACTTTACTGACAAAACACAAGCATGTTCAGTAAGTCGTCTATACCTATATATTTGTCAACATTTTTTCAGTATATTTTCCGTCACACATCCATTAAGTGGATCATTTCTATAATACAAATCATACCAGCCATGGACCAATAACCATGTAGTGGATGCAAGAATAATTTGTTTTAATAATACAGTAATTGGGTTCTATATAATATATTATAATATATAAAAACAAAAGCAAACGCTTGTTATTATTCCGAGTAGGTAAACGACGTCAATGAGGTACAAGATAAATATACTGCAAACTTTATAAATTAGATCGTTTTATAGAGTTACGTTGGACCCAACAAAGTTATAATCAAATTTATTGATCTCATTGTTAATTCGAATATATTTTTAATCGGAACATTACTTTTATAGCATAGTGATAGGAATATAGGTCTGCATCGTGTATTATGCAAACTGTTACCAATTAAAATTGTGACTAATTATTTGATATTTTAGTTAAAAAATTTATTTATTTTAATTATTTAGCTAATACGTATAGGTATACTCTTGTATATTTTCGTTAGGAGTTAATACCATACAGGAGGTTATCATTTAAATACAATAATAATGTCATTACAATTGTTATACTTTATATTGGTTACTTTTGTGCAGCTTGTATAGTCACAAGGAAGCTGCAGTACACTATTTTATTTTAAATTTAAAAAGTTATGTTTTTTCGTGTATCTTTTGGTTAATTTATCTTGAGTAGTAAGAAGAATTAGAGATAATTGGCTGAATATTATACTGCTATTAATCAAAATTTTTATTGGTACAAAATATACAATTTTAAAAAAAGTATTACTATTTATACCAAATTACTAGGTTAGGTTAGCATACATTTTTGATTTATTTCCAGAAACTTATTTGTTTTCTGAAATTATTACTAGACAGTATTAAAACTCTATATTTTAATGTAATTAAGGTGTATCATAATTCATAGTAATATATTATATTATATTATATCTAGGTATCTCTACTCATTATTTATTTTCTAAAACCGTTTTATAATGGTAGGTACCGTACTTAAAGTTTGAAATACATATTATACGTAAGCACATGACCGAGATTCGTCTTTTGAAAACAATATAATTAATAATGATGGCTTACAAATTAAATGTAATAAATTTATTAAATTCGTATGGTTTATTTCAAATTCTACAAAAAATTTAACATCGTGACCACCTCTATATTTATGGTTTAACTTGCTATATTATTTCCTTCAAAATCGAATAACGTATTATAATTTACCGTGTACGAAAGGCTGACCAAAACTTTTGACACTCTTCGTACACTATAATTATTTCGAGCGTGGTATGTATGAAAATACATTAATTTTCCAACAAAACAAACTCAACTCGCACGGATAGGTTTAGCGAAAACATTGCACGTACTATATGGTATCGCCGGTGCAGCAGTAAATATGCGCGTAGAGTTTTAACACTGCATTGTAGTGCTCATTGTAGTTCTTGGAAAACAAATTCATTATCTATACATAGCCACCTATTGTTGAATGTAAACGAAATATCTACCCTTAAGTGTGGACTATTATTCGAATTGTCGGATACAGGTATCATAATAATATGGATTTAGGTGTGGAAGCGTGGGACGGACTTCAACTTTGATTCTATATATGTATGGGTACTGTATAATATTATATACGTTTGGAAATATATTAGCGTAAAGGATGCAATCATCACGTTTTTAATAGTTAAAACAAGACGTGTGCAATTAACACAAGTCTGTGGTTGAGGTCACATTAATTAAAACACTATAAGAGTGAAGTGTACCTATACACAGTGAAACACATTTCCCGGTGTCGTATCCGAATTACCTATATAGTACGGAATACCGAAAGGTTTGTATTATTATCTGTCGACTGCAGATTGTTACATATTAATAGTATATTATTATTATATCTAAGTGTATAGAGGTTCATAGCCTACATAATCTACTAACTGTCCACGATTTCAATAATAATAACATTTTATCCCATCATAATATATAAAACTTAGTTACAATCAAACACAACGAAATTAAGTAATGTTTGTATTTCGTTTCTACTGCACACATGCATTTTCTCCATATAATTGATAATGTACAACATTATAATATTTGTATCGTACTATCGTATCAGCTGCTGCATAATATTCTACATTTACCAAAAAATAAATCACTACTTACAAGGTTATTTTAGTAAAATAATAAGTAAAAACGTTTTAATAGGTAACTGAAAAGCTATTCGTTCAGAATTTAAATAACTATATGGGTAAATACTAGCATATTAGTTAGTTACTATGACGAGGTACACTCGAAATCTACTGTACTTCCGGAGCGTTTAACTATATACTTTCTCCCCTTTTTTTCGAATTTGAAATATTTACTTCTCCGCATAAATAATAATAACAATTACGATGATAATAAAAAAAAACATAATTGAAAAACAAAAATGATATTGTTCCGACTCTTGCTAGGTATTAAGATTCACTGTTGGATAGGTTACAGATTTGATCGACTTACCTCTATGAACGGTCCAAAGGTGACGCTGGCCGTGGGGAAATGGGGCGCGTGCCACAGTACTGCAGACGGGTACCTGGGTCGAGGGTACAAGACGGCCGCGGGCGGTGGATGGACTGGCCTAGCGCATAACACGTTGGAAACGATTCCGTTGACAGCAGCCGGCCGCCTTCCGACACCGCAGCCGCCGGGCTCCAACGCCATTACCGTGGGTGTGGTTGCCGGTTCGCGGTAATCGGTCACGGACAGGCTGCTACCGGACCGATTGTGGTGCAGTGGCGGCTGCTGGTTGTGCGGCGGCTGCGCAGGCTGGTGGTGCGACGGCGGCGGTGGCGGTGGCTGCTGCGGCGGTGTCGGTTGCGACGGCTGGTGATGGTGGTGGTGCCCGATGAGCACCGACGTCGGTGGCCGGTTGACGGATTGCCGGCCGTGAAGCACCTGTTGCTGATGGGCGGGCAAGACGGAGGACGGCGTCGCGGCGGCGTTCGCTTCGCTCTTCTCCGTCATCATGTCCAAGTAATTCAACTCATCGTGCGCTGAAACACACGGCACGAACACGGTGAACACCCAACGACATAGTGCGATTATAACATAATAATACCAATAATAATAATAATATATTGTTACGCGGTTATCTCCACCGATAGTGTATTTTGTATTATATCTATAAGCGACGGTTATAGTGACGAACGACTGGTGGTTAGTGCACTACTTACAGTATATTATATATATATATTGAATAAATAATAACGCTATTTGACATAAGTCTGGTGTGAATCCTCAAAACGAAACGCATTTTCGAAAAAGGACTTTTTTGAATCTGAAGACAAAATGCACAGCAGATTTATGCAGTGCGATAGCAAAAATAAATTGAGTGTTAGAACCGGGATCGAAACCGGTTTAACCAGTTTTCTGAAAAACCAGTTAAAACCTCGGTTATTTCATTTTTTAACACCATAACCGTAACCGACACCAAAAGCTTTTAAACACCGGTTTGAAAACCATGAATGAAACCTGAGAATAATTTTCTACTACAACAAATAGAACAATTCTAGTATACTTCATAATATAATGGCACCTATATTATATGTATTTGTGAATATATTTACTTCCTACTTTGTCCTAACTATTATAGTTTACAAAAATATATATTGTATTTATTTGCTCGTAATATGTTATTAATTATTGTTTATTGTCTATTCATAATAAAAATAACTAAATGTGTTATTACAAATATGTAAATTCCTAACAGAATCTCTTAATTGGAGCCTAAAATAGTGTGTCTCCTGAATTACAAATGTGTGTAACATGCCTTATAACTGGTATTTAATAATAGATTGGAAAATAGATGCAATAGATATATTTTAGTAGATTAGATAGGCATAATATTATATGACCTTAAATTGCTATATAATATAAAGAAATTTAATATTTGTTAAATATTATTAGTTGATATGTATAATGTGTATAGTTTGAACTTAAAATATTTAATAATAATGTAAGGTAGTAAAGGTAAATATACACTGTACATTATGATAAAAGTTCAATACAATTTTGAAAATTAGAGAGAAGTCACTATTTATGAGATCACATTCCAATTGAATAAAGTAGCTTAACTTTTTTTAAATTGAGGTAAGTTAATATTTACGAGGTATTAATTTTTAACTTATCGAGTTAAATTTATAATTTGTTTACTGTTAACTAAATTATCGGTCTTGTGTTCTCTTAACTTAACTTAACAGGTGGCAAATAATAAAACGCCTGTAAGTTTTTAAAATAAAAATATTGTTATCAAGAATGATAATGAAAGTTCCTGAATATGAATGTTACAATGATTATATTGTTTTAGTAAGATTTTTATCTGGACAAACTTATGTGGGAGAAGACTTAAAGGTTAAAATTAAACTTTATTATATAGGTACTATAATCAACTTTGTTAACTTTATTTGTAACAAAATATGGTAACCAAATAAAACTTTACGGACCAGCTCAAATGATGGATATTAAAAGCACGAAAGTACCTACCATAAAATTGTCTAGGGAAATTATAGACTTGATATATTTATTATAAACACAATAGTACATTATTACGGGGTGTTTTTGTAGGTTTATTTTAATATTTTACACTTTAAGTTTTAAGTGACAGGGAAGCTTGAGATTTCGTATCGATACACGAAAACTAAAAATAAGCTCACAATGCTTTACAATCTAGATGTTGTTGTTGTCCTCATATGTTTATATTTTTTCATATGTTTTGTGAGTGTGTGCCACAGCTGAACACAAGTCCAAGATAATAGATATGATTTTGCTAGTTGAAGACTCCAGCTATATCTGTAACCACCTGAAATAATAATAATTGTACGGTATAGTTTAGTAATTCTAAGACTCACGAGTTTTTTTCTACTTATTAATAATTAAATAGGATAACTAATAGTGAAGTATATAATAATGTTCTATTACAGACAAACGTTGCCTATTTTATTAATTGTTATAAATAAATTATATCGTACTTTGTTTTCTTATGTAAACGTTATAAATAATAACAAATTAAGTGATTTTTTTTTCGTGAAGAGTTACGAAAATAAATATTATAAATAATTTTTGATTTTAACTCGAGAAAATAAAATATTTTTTTGTTAACCTAATAGAAGATTTTTAGACTTTTAGTACTAAAATAGGTTTTTTAAATGTTTCTAAAATATAAAATGTTCTTCAGACGTGTTAAACATTATGTCTTAGATCAAAAATTACAATTAGATACACCCTACGTAAAAATTCATCTAAAATGTTGGTAGTTTGTGGTGCTTAAACAAGAGAGCAAGAAATATAAGAACCACCCCAGCGCCACGGCCGTGAGGTGCTTATTGTACCCCATGTGGCATACATATAAAACCAAACCGAATAGCTCCCCCACCCCAAATCAGTAGGTTAACAATTATTTTATAGCTGTGGCTGTAGACATTTTAACTTAAGTAAAATAAAGAAAAGAAAAATCAAGCTTGATCACATTATAAAAATATATATTACGCGTATTGACGTAATCATAATATTATAACATTTAATTATAACCTACCTAACTGTTTAATTGTTGATAAAAGAGTAGGGCTTGCATTTGAAAAAAAATTCCGTTTTATGTTATTTACAATTAAAACGTTACACAATTTTTCAGTTTATCATTATGCAGAATTAAAACGTTATCCAAGTTTTGCGTTTATCGTTATTTAGAACTAAAACGTTATACAAGTTTTACGTTTATCATTATTTAAAATAGTGGTTAAAATAATAACTAATGCGGGTAGGTAATGGCCCAGATACGGAATATAATATAATCAATTTTTAGCTTCTTAGATTGTTATAAATGTTTCTACAAAACTAATAGACCTTTTAAATAAATACATTTAAAAATATTTAGTTTTGCGTTATTTTTGGTTCAATGTTATTCTATAAATTACATTTTTCGCTTAATGATATTATTCTATTAATTAAGTTTTGGGTTATGTTTTGTTTATTGATATATAATATGTATTGTTAATCGTTATGTTTAGTTTTGCGGTATTTAATAATTTTTACTTTTGTGTTCCGTTATAATAACGTTTGCAAATTTCAATCGTTTTTTGTCAAATATAACGTTAATATAATGTTTGCAAGCCCTGTAAAATTGTATTGTTTATTTAATTTAACAATTTAATTTTTATTTTTCATTAGTATTATATATCTGTATTTATTAATATAATAATTTTCAAGTTACGGATACTCTGTAAATCTATAATAAAAGTTGCGTCCGTGCCGTAGTTTTGTTTGTGAAAAAATATTAGAATGACATCTATGAATAATGTTAAAATAGTTAAAATCAAAGACCAACAAGACTTGAATAATATGAACGCCAGCTATCATTTCATGTTACAGTAGGTAAATACTTAAAAAAAAAGAATAAATATTTAATCCAAATTAAGGTTTCCATAATAGCCCCGTAATATGGATAGTGGCGACACTTTTGAGTTGAATATAAGTGACAATTTCAACAACAAAATAACCAAAAACCAATCAATTCAAAATGTATTATTATTATTATTATTATTTTTAGACTACCATTACTTTTTGGTTCCCTAATTGGCAAAGTGGGTTCAACCTTTATTTCAATATATAACCAATTTTAAAATATCTTGACAAATAATAAGAACAATTTAGGGGTAGCCCAGCACTCCTGGGATTTGAACATAGGTAGCCTGTAAGAGTCTACAATAAATTATGAACTATGCCAAAAGGTATGGTCCAGAAACATTTTTCTAAACTAATTTTATAGTTTGTTGGCACGATAGGTCATTACGTGCCTAAGTTGTCTAACAGATGTGGTATCCACAGTTTATTTCTTAACGTTGTATTGATTTATTTCTATTCATAAAAATAACCTTGTACCTGCTTGTGTTAATGCGATCAGCTCAATTCATATAATAAAGTCGCTCAAGTTTTAACAATTTAAAATTGGTAAAATTTCAAGAACACTGCAAATTGTGTTGAAATTATAATTTATTTACATAGTAAAATATAATACGGTTTGCCAACAATAATAAATTATTACATATTATAAATTTTAATAGATAATTATAGCCTATGTATATCCATTAATCTACTGACGAAGTTATATATTCCATGAGGGTGGAGAAATTTATCTATCTCAGTAATAATTCCTCTGTGGAAAATAAATCTATAAAAAAATAAAAGTACTGACAGAAAACAAAAAATAACTATATCTATCGCCTGAGCAGTGGCGTAATAATATTATGCATCTCATTAAACTTTTCCCGATCAAAGCCATAAACTATATAATAATATTATACATCATTGTTTTTGATTTGAGAGCAGCCATATAATTTCGTTCAAAAAATAATTCCGAGTTTTCTGAAGAAAAATAATCGACAAGACTTCAAGAAACAATGTAACCATTTTAAATTTTAAATGTAAATAATTGTATTCATTGGTTACAGAGAAAATGGCATAGAAAGATGGGTGTAAATAGAGTTTTAAATTTGGGGCGCTTAGCCCTAAAGCCTCTCCCCTATTTGCATATAAATGACAAAACCAAATAGTGACGTAATACGACTGCAGTTTGTATAATACACGTATAGGTAAGTACTAGGTACGCCGATTAATTTTCTGCACTTTTGGGAAACTCAGATTTCATTTCTAATTTTCGATGATCTATAACCTATATCGTTGGTTTGAAGTACAAGTGACTCGACACTTTACCAGCGCTTTTATTATTTCACATATTGTTATTATAATAAACTATAAACCGTCCTTTGATGTTTTCATCATCTCGATAATCTACCGTATATAGGTACTGAATAACCATTTATTAGGGGCACGCTCACAGACTCTTTTCATCGTATGCGACTACTGTAAAAATCATTTATCTGTAATACACGGAGAGGTTATTGTTCAAAAATCATAATAATTATAGTTTGGTAATTGCGGAACGACAATTACCTATTTCTAAAATGGCTGTGAGCACAATAAAACTGACCAAACTCGAGTCTGCACACATAATAATACGATTCTCTTGTCCATCTCTACTCCTAACTTAGCGCACCTATAGGTAATAATAACGATCGATTATCAACCGATGGTAATTCTCGTTTCGTTTGTAATTATTGGGTATCGTATTATTATTATTATTATTATTGTAATTTTTTCTATTATACAAGAGCATAATATTCTATCCCGTTAACAATAATATTATTATTATTACTATAACGAAACCGTACGCACATGCAAGCTAACATAATAATAATATAAATCAACCGGTCTTACGCGAACGACGAACAGAACAATAATATCGAACGCGCCGAACGATTTGTCTAAAATGTCCAATTACCCGGCGAGAACCTACTTACGTTAATTTACTACCGAGGTATACGTTTTGGTTACAAAATAGCCATCAGGTTTAGGCATAATATATATTAAATTATGTATTATTGTGTATAAATAATAACACACTGCAACAGGTTGGCCGCCGAGGAGTTACACAGTTAAGTGTATAATATTATATAATATATATCCTTAACTAGAGCCGTTTATTCGTTTAATTAGGTAGGTACCACTATAACAGCAAAGTACTTAGAGAACGCGTGCGGTATCAAAGAGATATATACCTTACACACACACACACAACAAGTGTGTATATTATTATCATGTTTATTATTCGAAATGCGAATTCAGTATGTTATATATATTATTATCATTAATCATCGTATACATATTATTATTATTATTATTACACGTCGACTGGCGTCTGGCGAGCGCAAGTATTATAATATATTATATTAACACTTGTTTTTGAAACCGAATTATTCGTCGACATTACAATATAATAATAACATTATACTACTATTATTATTATCATCGAGTGTTTTGTGTTTAAGTGAATAAATCTAACGGCTATTATTACTAAGCGTTTTATTTTCTTTTATTTTTCCGCGGTGTAAAGATATTATAATGATATAGTCACGTTGTTGGCACACACACTTAATACAAAAAACAGATGAGTTACAATATAATTATATATTATACCGTTTATGCACCCGAATTGAATTTATTGAATTGTTCCGTATAGAGTGCCAACAGATACGACGCTGAAACGTGCCACACCGCAGTTTGTTTGTCCTCGTCAATACAATAATTTTGTAGTCCAATTAAGTTTAGTTTTTTTTTATTAGGTTTTTGCAAAGTTGCACATACTATTATTATTACGATGGCCACATGGGTTGGTATTTTTTTGTTGTTCATTTACACTAAAAATTACTAGGTAGATACCTATGCATTTCTAGTATTTGAAAACCTTGGCGTTTTCGTAACTAAAACTATGCATTTCAATATAAAGTGTCTGTATCTGTATATTACCTATCAAGGCACGTCTATCATATTATACCATAATTTTGTTTTAAATTTAAAAATTAATCAAATGTTTATTCAATGAATACCTATATTACTTAATAATTTAATTTAATTAATTAGGTACAAAAACAATTATAAAATAATACATAGTTCCTACTAAGGCTGACCGCTGTGAATTGTATGAACTATAAAACATTTAAAATGTAATAAAAAATGAACAAAATGATCTATATAGCCATACAGGCAAACAGTTGGTAGAAATTGAATTCATTGTTAGATTATTCTAACTTTCTCAAGAAAGCTAAGTAAGTTAACATTAAATTAACTAAATGTACTTTGCTACGAATAATAATGAGATATTAATTTTATAATAATAAATGCTGAGATCTATAGTAAATATTTATAAATATTGGTAAAAATCAATCACCAACGTCCAACATGTACAAA